ATCACTGAGGAGGGTTCAGCAGGGCACCACTTCTCTCGCCTCCAGCAGACTCCAGATAGCTCAGACCTCTGAACAGCCCCGCGTGCTGTCAGAGTCCAGCGTCGGTCCCAGCTATGGCCGACACTCTGCAGGTCCAGCTATGTCCGTCTTCTCCAACGCTGAAGCTGTCACCACTTCCAGTTCATGCGTTGCACAGCAGCGACGTACACGGTACCAACTGCAAAAAGCCTCGAACCGTCTTCCTAAACCTATTCATAGTCTACTCTAGCCTAGACACGACCTAGACTGGACTGATAGGACCGAGTGGTACCGTTTCAGTTTCGCCCTCTCGGCCTCTACCTACCCGGCTATCGGGTATAGGACCATCTATCAGCAGAGGCCTTTAGGGCCTGTCTGCCCTAGGGGTAGCCCTGGCCTGCTATTCACAGTTAGGGTAGCTGTAGGAAACTTCAGTTAGTACGGGCCTATATTTTCCCGAATTAACAGATATGTCCCTCAAGAATTTTCCCTACAGGTAGGTCTCTCGGTTAGCCCTCAGCCAAACAAAAATTACGAATCTAACCTACCTATGGTACAGCCTCGACCACTGAAACCAGCAAGTCATTGCAGAGGAGCGACGCGCAGCCATACCAACCCGCAGAAAATTGGAGAAACTAAAGAAGAAGGGTGGAGAGCGAGAATCGGAGCCAGTGGGGGATATGGGCCAGCTGGAGGAGGACAAAGAAGAGGTGATGGGCCAGCAAGAGGAGGAGGCAGAACACGAGATGGGCCAGCCAGCGCAGGAAAAAGAAAAGATGGAGGAGCAAGAGGAGGACGAAGAAGAGGCTGGCATGGAGCAGCGAGAGGAGGAGATGGAAAAGGAGGAGGGGGAGGGCATGAAACAGCAAGAAGAGGAGCTGGAAGAGAGTGAGAAGGAGCATCAGCAGGAAAAGATGGAGAACAGCGAGGAGGAGCAGCAGCAGCATGCACCGACGACCGTGTACAAGTGTCGGAAGCAAACTGTGGAGGTGCTGGGTCACCAGAGAATTCCCCCGACTTCCCAGCCAGCAAAGCGGAAGCCCAACATGACAACCTGTGGGTCAGCAGGGTTGGGAGGAAGACGCCCCGTGAGGACGAACAGCCGAAACCAAAACTTCCAGGTGGCAGGCCTCGGAAGAACATGACTGCCGGTCCGGCTGCAAAGCCCGAAAAAAAAAAACCGGCGGTGCAAGCCTCACAAAAAAATTGTCGAGGATGACCCCGAATCCGACAACTGCAGCAAGCAGTTGGCCGAAGACGAGGGTGACAGCGCTGACTGAGATGGTGTGTTTGTGTGTGTGTGTGTGTGTGTGTGTGTGTGTGTGTGTGTGTGTGTGTGT